AAAGACAACCATGATTTCTGCTATCAAAATAGAGTGTGTAAGAGAACAACCCATGTGCTCTCCTGCGACTCTTCAGATTTTCTACATTACAACAAGGCTGCAATTCATTATAAAAGTCAATAGTCCCAGAGCTCTGAAGGCACCAGTGTTTCCATCACACCCTCTGAGCTGCCTCCAATGACATCCTCCTGGTAACCATGCATTGGTGTAACCCCGATCCTGCTTCTAGTGAAGAGAAATGGCAGAGTGATGTGTTGGGAGATCACTGCCTGTCTGCCCTCTCTCAACGCTGGGAGGCAGCCTGTGCAGAGGCCATGACTGAGCTTGGAAGCAGATCTAAGAGGCCTGCCAGCAACTAGGTGAGCCTTGAGATGACTGCAGCCCTGGTCAATACCTTGTTTAATGTTTCATGAAAAACCCTGGGCTGGAACCACTCAGGTAAGACACTCCCGGATTTCTGACCTGAACATCTGGGAGATAACAGATGTTTGCTATTTCCAGCCACTAAAATTTAGGATAATTTGTTATGTATGCAGCAATAACTACTAAAATTGTCTGTGAACAAAAAGGGGGTTCTATAGAAAGTAACCTCACAGAGTGATTGGGTCATAAACTCCTAACTGGGCAGGTCACTGCAGTAGTCACGGGAAGGCATATAACTTTTTAAATAAAAGGTTTATCTTTGCCTTACACAAACCCTGTCCATTGTTTTTTATTTTTATTGTTTTATTGCTTAAAGTATTACAAAGAGTATTACATCTGCACACCCCCCACTGGGGATGTGCCCGCAACCCAGGTACATGCCCTTGACCGGAATCGAACCCCTATTTTTGAGAACCCCTGAAGTGTGACCACCCTCAAGAGGAGCATATAACTTTTTAAGTAAAAGGTTTATCTTTGCCTTACACAAACCCTGTCCATTGTTTTTTATTTTTATTGTTTTATTGCTTAAAGTATTACAAAGAGTATTACATATGTCTCCTTTTTTTCCCCGCCCTTGTTTTTATGTGTCTAAGTTAACATACCTTTGAAATGCTAGATTAATCCTATTTTTGAGAACCCCTGAAGTGTGACCACCCTCAAGAGGAGCACAGTTTAGTCAACTCCCCTGTAATCCAATCCCCCACTTGCTCTCTCCCACCTTCACTGAATATTCCTTACATTCCCTCCTTGGTTCCAGATGCAAAAAACCCTGAAAACTGTCATTCTGGGGAGCACTTGAGATCTTGCCTCCAGCAATAGTCAGTTTTGTCTCAAATAAACTCTTATAAATATTCTCTACAGGTTTGGAAGTTCTTATGTCGACATGACCTTTTTTTAATTTTTTTACTGTGACAATGAAAGATATTTGTTATCTGTCAAATGAATGAAATAAGGCTTTACATTCCTTGTTACTGCTAAAAATAAGATATTTTTGACATTTCATAGCTTTCCTACAAAAGTAAAACCTGTTGTGTTTCAAGAATTGAGGTTAATGAATGCATCTTTGGGTCATGACTAAAAATGTTTAACATTTGTTTAAAGGTCCTGGGTTTGATTCCGGTCAAGGGCATGTACCTGGGTTGCGGGCACATCCCCAGTAGGGGGTGTGCAGGAGGCGGCTGATCGATGTTTCTCTCTCATCGATGTTTCTAACTCTCTATCTCTCTCCCTTCCTCTCTGTAAAAAATCAATAAAATATATTTAAAAAAAAAAGAATTGAGGTTAATGAATGCATCTTTGGGTCATGACTAAAAATGTTTAACATTTGTTTAAAGCTGAGAGTGCAATTGGTTTAAAAAATTTTTGGACTTCAAGATAAGATTTTAGTTTACTTTTGCAGAGAGGAAGCATGATTCCTGATCACTTTGTATTCAACTTTCCATTAGCATTGGTTAAAGAGCAATGACATACATCCATCACACCATTATTGTCAGTGGTTTTATGTGGAAAAGACTCAAGATTCTCCAAGTGACTCATGGCTGCTCCAAATAATAAGAGGGGCTTAGATTCCCAGTTGAGAGAAATGGAAGTAACAGTGATGGGAGCACCAGGCAGATGCAGGGCTCATGCCTTTCTTGGTCTCTTTCTCTTGCACTGGACTTTAACCATCTCCAATCATGGGCCAGAGTCCAGCAAAGGAGCATGAGATATTTTATTTGACTGACAATTATCTGATCAGTGCATGACTAGATAAGGGGACCCAAAAGATTAAAATATGCCAAAGGGTTTACAGATTCCTTGACAATTGTGAGGTTTCTTGAGTTACCAGGTATCAACAAATCCAATATAACTTAAAACCAATACTATCACAATATATCTCTGCAAAAACAGGTGCTAAGCTCCTAAAAAACTGGATTCATGTAAGGGTGTAAACCAATGGTTCTCAACCGTGGCTGCACATTAGAATCACCTGGGAATACTTGTTTAAAATCCTGATTTCTGGGCCTCATCCTCTGG